GACTGATTAATGTGGAGACAAAGGAACAATAAAGTCTGAGACAATTGATGCATATTTTGCAAATGAAGTATTACCGCATGACTCTCAGATTTTACCACGACATTTTGTAATGTTGTATTGAAATGCGTTTAGTTGTCCCCACTAGTACGTTCGCGTTCACTACACCACCACTTTACATAGGTAAAAGTAGAGTTCGTGCACTCAGATCAGTACACAAACTATCTACTGACTACACAGAAAGCCTAAAACGCAAAAAACATGCGACCTCTATTGCTTCTGAATTTAGACGGCTAATGAGTTTCATGATGAAGAGTTTCTTCATAATAGGGACTAAACCTACCCTTCTCATAACATGCAAGTGAACCTCCCCTGAGTGTTAGTGGTTTGTCTTCTGACATATAAATACCTCAGACATGATACGAGTAGAAGATGTCCAAGAACACTTCACACGTCTACCGTTAGGATGTAACATCAGTCTCGACTTCACACCTAGATGTAAGCACCTCTCCTTAAAACCTTTATAGTGCCGTCGATTAAGTATTAATCTAATATTTCTCTAGAAAGTAACACATGGCTTTTCATTCCTAACCTCCTGTCCAACCACGATCAATAACTCTGCATACAAACTCAGTAACAACGCATATACACTATTAACTGCAAAACATTAAAAGCCAACGCGTTGTAAGCTTTCGACGGTGCATTACAGTTTATTATGGAACAGGCTATCAATACTTAACTGTGACTGTGATACTCATCAATCGTGAAGGAATAACAACCCTATATATGTTCCCAAAAAGCCTCGTCAGTCTTTCCCAACACTCCCACATATCCCCGATGCACGTCTCATGGTCCGCGTAATATCTAGACCGGCTATGAATATATCGAACTACCGTTGCCATCAATATGTGTACAACAATGTTATAAAATATTTGGTTTCCCTTCTCTCATTACTGGTATTCAGCCACCCCTCACACTCATATCTGAAGTCTCTTTAATGTTTAAAGCTGTAACACTTTTTCCACGAAGTCCTATGGAGTTTCCATTTTAAATAGGCAGATAACTCACCAAACTTATGGTTGCTGGTTAACTGTGGTCGATCATAAGAAGCTCATATTATCATGACTTATTGTGAGTTCCTTCCAGTTCATATTGTTCTCATTAAAAAGTTTTGATGTTCCAAATGCACTAGCATTCAAATATTTTTTCTTCTCACTTAATTATTATCTCACTCATAGATCTTGCAACCGTAAACTCTTTTCTTTCATCTATATATTTTACAATCTTCAAACTACAAACCATCTGACGAGTGTCTCTTAACTTGTACCATTGGTTAACTTAACAACAGTGTAATATATAAAAAGGATATCTAACCCACCATAGTGAAGCCTTAGCTATCTGATTTACTTGTAACATGGAATTAGTGGAGACAATTTATTCCAACAAGGTGTGAGAATTTGGGCGTAGATTAAAGCCATGTTTAAATATACCATAAACGTAAGACGGTCTCACATCACAAAAGGAGGGAGTGTGATTTTTTTGACCAGCGAGCATGATAAGGGGAAGAAAACTTCGGCCCGTTCATGCCTGTAGGGTAAAAGATTCTGTTTACTTTCAGTTCCTTATGGTCTAGTGGGATATGACTAATCAATGGTATTGGTATTATGTTCCCATGCCAAATATCTCATTGACTCGCGTTTGTAACCTTGAATCGGTTTCACTTTTTACCGAGAAATCCAACTGCAAATCAAACTGGACAATTACGCTAATAAGGAGTTGACTCATGACGTTATAAAAGTTGTAATCATACAAAGCAGCAACAATCACCACCATGGAAAGTTCATTTGTGTACACAAACGCTGTGTTTTCCTTAGTACATTTTTGAGATTAACATTATCTCAAACTTTCACCTCTTTAGGATCTCCTCTATATATACAATCCCTTATCCATTTGCTGCCATACTCATGCCTTGTTTCTTTAACCTATGAAAATACCCTAGGATAAAAATGGATCTAATAAAATTAAATAGGTCTAAGTAAACATACCTTAATTATTTCACCACAAGCGACTTAAATTTACTAGTAATGAGCATTGTCTATTCTGATCCTAATACTTTTCCCATTTATTTTTAAAGACCTTATGATATACAGCCAGAAACACCTATTCCGACGCCCTTATTAATACTTCTAGTATTACTGAAGGATATATCGCTTTGTTTACTAGTAGCCTATTAACTTTGTTCTCTGGGAATACTATCATGAAGCATAAAATGATGCATTAAAGCTGAAGTTTTTAACTAGTCGATTGTGCACTTATCGCATCATTTCTTGATACAAATGGCCATGAAATTTACCTGGGTTCATTCTCAACCACCAGTTGGAACCTCCATAAAACACGACAATTGTTACACTGATCTGGCAGGTGTCAATATCAGGAGTTTAAAGGAAGACAATCTTAGGTCCTCTTCTCTTCCTAATCCTTATTAATGACTATTAGGACAAAGTTAGCCCTGCGGCACTTGTCTATGCAGACACTACAGAGATTTAGAGTTTTGTGAGAAACCCAAAGGAAATCTGATCGGTTGTCTCAAACTGAAGTCCACGTTTTATGCGAATGAGAGATCTGATTATGGCGTAAAACATATTACGTACTCCAAGTCACCCCAATACAAACAGCTTATCGGAATATCATCACATCCATCGAGTCAACCCTCAGAAGATTGCTTATCAAAGGGCGGTAACGAAACTATGCTCTCACTTTCTAACATTAAGAGTTGTCTTTATTTAGAATGATCTTCCAGCCGGAGCTATGACAGCTCCATCAGAGGATAGTTATAAGAGGACATTTGATAAACACGTACTCACTCATGGATTGCCATCTCCCACCTGGACCGGCTTTATGTGAGGCATGTGTCACAAATCGCCACTGCTTTTATTACTGCGAAACTAGTAGCTACGTTCTACCTCTTTTTATCATCTCTTGTCCTATTATTTTCTTTTGATTCCTTCTTCCTACATATTATCAATTAAGTAAATTATTTATTTACTCTTAAAATAATCGTCTTCTCTTGGCATTCGAATTATCACTATATTATCTTTTATGTTCCAAACAACTAACCTACGGCTTGGTAATGTGATGAATGCTGATACCTTCATACACACGCAGACAGTGTGTTTACTCGAATTATCAATTTAAGCGAAAGTTTCTTCTGTTCCGTCCACAACCGTTTGAACCATTCGAACCATACGTCCTTGACGAATTATAGCTCTTGGTTCGTAATGTGACCTTGTCGATAGCGTATTCTGGTTGTGTACATAGGTGGTTTTAGACTTAGTATTCTTCGTCCCATGTTGTTCTTTATTCTTGATGAGCTGTTCGTCCTGATTACGTCTTCTTCTCTCCGATTATCTACCGATCACTAAGGTTTTTGTATCCTACAGCGATATAATCCATTGGAAACATTATGGAAACCTCATTATAAGTTGACGGGTTTTATTAAGCCTATGATCACTGATGTTTTTATTTTACTTAGATACTACAGCCGATAATTCGCTTGTTTCCCGTGATGGTGGGCCGTTTTTGTTTCCTTAATTCCTCGAATTTTAATGGATGACTTTTATCAATGTTGAATCTAATTACGTTTTTTCTCTCTCTCTATATATATATATATATACTTGCCGTAAGACAATTTTACGACAGTTCTAAAGTTTAGGGACTGACTTTTAGATGGTTTCAAAGTATTCTGAAATTTTATTGTTCTAGGCTCATGATAGTGATTCAACTATTAAGTTGGTATTCACCATTTAAAATGTAGTATGAAATAGTTTTCAGCCCACAAATTAGCGGTAAAGTTAGTCTTTACGAGAGAGTGCGGGTAAATGTCCAACTTGACCTCGAGAACCGTAGTATATGAATTACTTTTTGTCAAAGTGTCAGGGAAAGCAAGATGTGATAAGTTTCAGTTTCAGTCTCAACTTCAGTTTGAGAAGGACAGAAGCCTAAGTGGCCCGTGTTATTTCTAGCAATAATGATCTTATTTGAGGTGATTTTGCACCAATTTGTGTATCGATAGAGCATCAGTTATCGACTAAGTCCTTGTTCTCTTAATTATTTTAATCTCTTTTGACTAGAAATTATCGTCCAGATATGTGTAATTCAGAAGAAACATCTCACTGGCGTTCTTGCAGAAGGTTAAACGACATTTGGACCCATACTGAATTGGTCACATTACAGCCTCAATTATTGGTACACGCAATAATTGGTCAGAAGTAGCCAGCGTCAAGTTAGCGTTTTGAAAAGTTGCCAGCAACTTTCTCAGTTGCTCGAAAGCACTTCTGTGAACTACTGTACGGGGATAGTATCTTTAAGGAATGCTTTTCAGATAACCTCTATGTTCTATTTATAAATTAAAGATAACCATTTGAGACGTAGATGACAGACACATAAGGCAAGGCCATATAAAAGCACATAAATATAATTACTCAGGTTATTGATAACGGAAGTACGGAGGAATGTCACAAGGTACCTGACATGGCTAGAATAACAATATGGACAGAGGTGCTAGGACAAAAATAGGCTACACAGGAGTGTGATAAGAGTGGCTACAATTTAATTGTGCAGTTACAGAAGTCTAAACATATCTGTGAGTGGCTGATTAGCCAATTAAATCTTTGTATATTTGGCTATAAATCACAGGTTTTACAATAGGATTAATATTTTTACACCTCTAACGAGACTTATGTGAACGAGAATTTTTAATTCTCACCTTTATGTTTAGAAGGTAATTACTTTTACCTCTTTATATCAGAAATTGGAAATTCAAATGACACATTTTGTAGGTGAATTTGTTCATATTTCAATGTACTAAATAGACTGTTAATTTGCTTTATTCTTATTCTTGTTTGGATAGGTGTGGGATCTTAGTGGATAAAACTATTTTAACTATTCTGAGTGATATCATATACCACTTATAAACTACAAACTACTGGATCTACACCATACTTATGATATTGATTTCTGTGTTCTGGATATTAACAGGTTGTTTCTATTTTACTTCTTAATTGAGTTGTAGTTATATTACTCGATGTCAGATGTGAAGTATTCGAACTGGATAGCAGGTATTCATATAGTATTTGAATTTATTAAACATTAATACTTTTTAGATTCATTGAGTTTATCGACAAGGGTCCTTGGCTTGTCCAGGTAATTGTCCCACGACAGATAGATTTAAAACTCTTAGTTTTATGCTCCTTGGTGTGGATTCTGTCGCCGTTTGGCTGGTACATACGAAGAAGCCAGCAGGATACTACTTCATACGGAACCTTCAATCAAAGTTGCTAGACTTGACGCCACAATATACACCGGAATAGCCAAGATGTTCGATGTGCGAGGTTTCCCAACAATTAAGTAGTGAGTGTGTTTTAAGATTTTTATCTTAAGCTTAAGTCATAAAATCCTAATCACTATGTGGTTGTGGAAATTGTTGGATTTTATTAGGATCACGAACTAATATAGGCTAGACAATCATCAAAAATATGGGAGAACTGGATGACCGCTTCATCCTAGTATGGGACTCAGTAGTGCTCATCCACGACCCTGCGACTAGAAGTCGAACCCAGGGCTTTCGATTGCTAACTATTAACTTCAAAACTGCTTAGTCGGCATTCGGTGGTGCACAAGTCTGACTTCAATCAGTCCACGGTGATATGCGACCATTCTCCATTGCCCTTGGTGAGTACCTTACATCTGGCGTGACTGAACTTTATTGATCATGGATTCTTACCAGATCTCAGGAAATCTTCTCTCGAAGTTAGCCATTAGTGAGAACATGGTTTTATTTGTCATAATAATTAGTAACTCATCTGTCGTTTTGTTTCGTTCATAGAAATCCATTCAAAACCTAGTGTATTTTTCACGTTTAAAATTAACAAACTGGAATACACGTCGACTACATAAAAAGTCTAATACCTAGATAGCTGCTTTTTGTATTTAAGACCTATTCATCTTGTTGCTTAATTGGCTAGTTTATTATCAGTTAGTCACTCTTCATCAACATAAGATGTGGGACGAATAAGTATCTGTTATCAAGAAGCACATACATAACTCAGTAGTTCAGTTGTATTTGTTAGTTAAAGCAGTTTAATTTGTTGATGCTGTAAATTGTATACATCCGGTAATTTATTAATTTCAACATGTATCAAATACTATCCAGTTAAACACGTTTAAAGTCGAGTATTGACCAGAAACGAAAATCGTATATACCTCAATTTATTTTCCGCATAGTGGTTGATCAGTGGTTGGGTCAGTTTGTAGATTTGTTGTAGGTGCATAGTAAATGTTTGTCTGATGTCTTGCATGGAACTGTATCAGTCTTTGTGCAGTTATGTAATATCAAGTAACCAGTTGTATCCATGGCTGTGATAATTAGCCGTACTAGTGTTTTTGCCAAGTTATAACAGTAGTAACGGGGATGATCTGCAATTTTCATTTCAAGTGACATTTGCTTCAAGTTAACTCTCAAGTCGTTTCAGTTGTAACAGAAGGACAATTTAGAGTATGTTTTTTCCACAGTGATTAGATCAAGTCATTGCTTGGGCGACAGTAGAAACAGTTTGATTACTGGTTGCAAAGGTTATTGATATTGCTGAACTCCAAAATTTCTTCAATTTTCGGTTGGTAATGTCCCAGAAAAAGTGACTGAAGTTCCAAAGTTGGTCTCTAAGTTTGTATGACAGATAAAAATCGTTTGTAATCGCCGAAGTACATCCACTCATCGTCTTCCCTTAGAACCTGAGTCCTGACATCTTATACCTTTTCTCTTTTTTACATACTCAATATTTTCCATTACTATTGATGATACTATTACTACTCTTACTACTCTGGGGTTTGTCTTAATAGTTTCATCTATCTGTGTTGGTGTGGTTTGAAAACTTGAGTGGATTGTATATGTATCGGGTTCTACGTTTTTATTGTCTTAATTGATTAAATCTTCTCAAATGCCTTGTGTTCATATATTTTTGACCATTTCAGTATTAATGGCACAGTATCATATACATTTATCGGTGATCGAACTGTTCATGGTCTTGTTACATTTGCGCAAAGAGCTAATGGGTATGTTTACTTTTTCAATTTTACGTCTGTTAATCTATAAATACCATAGCCTTAAATGGTTAGATTTTGTTTGTGTTTATGTGTTAGTGAAATCTTATAATGTTTCGTTTGAATTCCGTATTTCACTATATGAACAGATTGTTTATAGACCAGACGGACATGATACTGGCCACTACTCAATGAGTAATTACTCGTAAATGTCTCAATCGCGGTCCGTATAGCTTAATGGTGACGTCTTAGACTATAACGCTAAGTAACACAGGTTTGAATTTATTTTATTATTATTTTATTTGAACACATAAATATTGGTACAATAGAGCGCCAATATATATGCGCCACACAAAACAATGGGAATTCGAAGAGAAGTAGAAAGAAGAAAAAAAAACTAAGGAACGCAAAAGAAAAAGAGAACAATGACGAAGAGATTGGAGTAAGGTAGTATGGTAGTAACGACGGAACGAAAAGGTACAATCAGAAGAAATGTTTCAGGTAAAGGAGACACAACCACTTTTTATGAAGAAAGTAAAAGAAGGCTATAGCAGGATCGCCACTGGCTTCTATTCTGAGCCATATCTGATAACGTCTCTAGCCACTGTGTTGCACCATCTCTCGGACCCCAGCCAGGGAGTCGTGAAGGACCAACACAAGCCAGTCCTTTGCAGCTTTCTTTCATGCCACGACACCATGTTATGCACTGACCACCTCTCCGCTTCTTCCAACCAGTCCCAGAGTCGGCAAATAATGCACGACGTGGAATTCTCTGGGACGACATTCGGAGAACATGTCCAAGCCACCGAAGTCGGTGTTTCAAGATGGTGACACCAATTGAGTTATCATCTCTGTGCCCGAACACACGATGCCGAACCTCTGCATTACTGACATGGTGTTGCCACTGAATGTCAGCAATCCTTCGGAGACAGCGATGATCGAACACAGAGAGTCGTCTAACGTCCTCAACTCGGAGAGGCCAGGTTTCACAAGCATAGAGCAAAACTGCTCTCGCCGACGCGTTGTAGATCCGGCCTTTTACAGCTAGACTAACATCACGAAGGCGCCAAAGGTGGCCCAGATTGGCATAAGCCGCTCTGGCTTTCACTATTCGTGCATTGATCTCATCACTCACACCCCCACCAGCACTTATGCAGCTACCCAGATACACGAACTTCTCAACTACGTCTATCTGCTCACCATCCAGGGTGAGTACAGGATTAGAATCCTGCCAGTCTTGTAGAAGTACTTTGCACTTCGAAGGTGCAAAGCACATACCATACCTACGGACACTGATTGCCAACTGATTAAGTGCGGATTGCATGCCTTGGGCATTATCGCACAGTAAGACAATATCGTCCGCATACTCAAGGTCGAGAAGTCTTTCTCCAGGCAACAGATCCACACCACCATTACTTACATTCATCAGAGCTGTTTCCAGAATGTCATCGATGGCAAAGTTGAAGAGGAATGGTGAGATTGGGAAACCCTGCCTAACCCCACTGCTCGAATGGAACAATGGAGAGAGGTGGTTGTATGCCCTCACTCTGCCTGAGGTGTTTTTATACAGGGCTTTTAGGATGTTAATAAACTTCTCAGGTACACCCTTCTTCAATAGACAATCCCAGAGAACAGTCCTATCCAACGAATCGAAGGCAGCCCTAATGTCAAGAAACACTACGATTGTTGGCCTTTGATAAGTATGGCGGTGTTCTAACATTTAGCGGAGGGTGAAGATATGATCAATACATCCTCGACCGGAACGAAGCCCAGCCTGCTCTTCGCGAGTCAATCTTTTTCGGGTTTTGAACAACCTACGAAGAATGACGGAAGCCAATAGCTTGGACGCAATCGGAAGTAAACTTATCCCCCGATAGTTGTTACAAGAACGACGTGAACCATTTTTAAAGATAGGGACAACTATCGACTCATTCCATGACGTTGGTACACTCTCTAGTTCCCAAACCTTTGTAAACAACGTCGTCAATTCCTTAGTCAAAAAGTCACCACCATCTTTAAAAAGAGCCGGAGGTAAGTCATCTGGGCCAGGTAATTTGTAACGCTTCAAGAGTTGGAGTTCCTTGCGGAATTCCTCCTCATTTGGTGGATCAGTCGTCACCGGCCATGGAGGGCAGGACAGTCTGACCGATGTTGCCGGAGCAGCAGGCCAGTTGAACTGCCCTTCGAAAAATTCTGCCCATCGTCCAAGACGTCGATGGATGTTAGTGATTGGCATCCCATCATCCTCGCAGATTGTTTCACTCACACCAGACGTCTTGCTGCCAGTGGCTCGGATGAGCTGGAAGAGCTTCCGGCAGTTACCAGATGCAGCTGCTGCTTCCAGCTCATTAGCACGCATCGACCACCAGGCTTCTCGGTCCTTACGCAAGCTTTGCCCAATTTCCTCACGTAACTTCCTTCGTTTATGGTCAAACTCACGGTCACCCGGAGTAGACCGACGGGCTTCAATGAGTTGTAAGGAACCAGAAGAAACCCAGTGCTTAAAAGCGGGACGTTTCGCAAACCCACAACTGACTGTTCCCGCCATTTTCATGGCGTCATGCAATTGCAACCAATGCTCATCTATACTTTTCGGTGGAGTGGTAGCTAGCCTAGAGGCTAGCTCGGTTCGATACTTACTTGCAACAGAAGTTGCAACCAGCTTGCTAACATCAATACGTTGATGGCGTTCACTTCGTTGTCCACTGAAAAGTAAGGCAAGATTGGCGCAGACCAAGGCATGGTCAGAGTCCAGATAGGTACTCCAAAAGGAGCGGCAGTCTTGTACACAACCACGCCAGCGGTAGCTGATCGCGTTGTGATCAATCTGAGTCCAGGCTTGAGATGCAGAGGGAGGACGCCAGGTGGCAAATCGGCGATGACTGTGCCGAAAGTTAGTGCTAGCCAGAAACAGGTTGTGGTCTGTGCAAAGTTGCAGTAGACGGTCCCCGTTATCTGACCTGTGACCAACGAGTCCCCATCGGCCACCTAAACGACTCTCTTCTGTGCCTAGACGCCCGACCTGAGCATTCAAGTCTCCGGCTAGTACTACAATATCTGTCGAACGCACTTTCTGGAGAAGAACTGATAACTGGTAGTAGAACTCATCCTTGATTGCATCCGGGCTGCAATCTGTCGGGGCATAGGCGGAGATGACGAAAAGATATCGTTTCTCACGCCGATTTCTCCTCACTTTGATGGAACTTTCTAATCTAACAGCACATAACCGACTGTTAATGGGGATCCAATCGACTAGTGCTGCCTCAGCTCTAGCGCTTAGTGCGACACCAACGCCAGCAAGACCAGACGAAGATGCCACAGGGTCCCCGGATAAGCGCACGTAAAACAAGCTTTTCGAAGCGACAGATGGAGATCGAATTTGTAGTACTTCGCCAGAGTCTTGAATACGGGTCTCGGATAGACAACACACGTCGATATTAAGACTTTCCAAAGACATAGCCAGCCCTATCTGTTGTCCGACCTGCATAAATGTGCGAACGTTGAAGGCAGCCAGTTTGAATGGTGCACGTGGTTTCAGAAAATCTGCTTCAGTCCTCGTATTCGGTGGTAACATACAATTTTCAACCGGACAGTGACTCGAGAACGTTTAGATACAGTCGGATTTCCACCAAAGACGAGCCGCTGTATAGGTATAAAAGAGGGTGAATAATGTGGAAAATAATAATAATAATGATAATAATAACAATAATGACAATAATAGTAATAATAATAATATTAGTATTAATAATGACAATAATTGTAATGATAATAATCTGAATCAATTGTTTGTTTTTCAAAGCGAGAAAGGTAATTTCCATAGGCATAAAGAGTTCATCAATTTGTGTGTGGGCTGTGATACTGCCCGGGTGCCCAAACCGAAGCAGGTGGTTATCTTAGGGGGCCACTCCCCGAGCCTTTGACCTAAAGGTCTAACCCACAAGGCAGTGGAGCATCGTAAGGAGATGCAGTCCCATGGTAGCCGGTGACCAACGATTGGTTCATACGCCATTCGTTTCCGCAGGATACTGGAGCCCATGTGCACCATTGATTTGGAATCCGGTTAAAGCGCCGGACATTCGCTTTTCGTCCTCTCATTTTCGTAAACAACACCCCCGCCACGAGAAGGCAATGAGTAGGACTTCCCTGGCAGAGGCTGTATACGAGTGGCCGTGTGAGAGTATTTCGAGAGGGAGAGCGGACTCTCCCCACTCTCGGCCGTACCAGGGCATTCAGGGGGGCACAGGTTTGAATGCCACACAGAATATTAGTAGGTACACTTTACTGACGGATACCAACTTTCATGAATCTTAGGTCTAGGATATCCTGGTGACCACCTTTAAAGGACTGACAGTTTAACATCAAATTGTTTCTCCCGCCCTGGTCAATATAATATAATTTGTTTATTGGTTCGCTTCACTACCCGGCAATTAGCTATATTTATTTTCTAAATATTAGTTTTTGTATTTAGCTATGGATTGATCGGACTTTGGAACATATCACCATTTCCGATATTAAGATTAAAGTAGGTTTATTAAGGTTAAACACAAATATTTTGTATCGTCACCCAGATTCTCTTTAGTTGTAAATCTAGCTTTTAAATGATGACATTTTCACACTCAAATCACTTTAGTCCTAAGGGATACTAACTTTTTCTGAAAATAGTTTAAATAGTTGGCTTCTTTTCACAAAATTTATGACTGAGTGAAATTGTTCTTAAGATCTTATAATACCCATCTTTTACCCAAACTGAGTGATGGTGATGTGATGTGAGGGGTTAAAGAGTTAACCTACAATTCGGTAATTGTGAATGTCGTGTTGCGAAGCATTGGCAATTAACCTTTAAAATTTTAGTAAAGCTGGATATTTACTGCAATCATTTAAATCAATCAACTCTTTTCATAAAATTTCAGTAGATTTAAAGACTTTATTTTTACTCTTTTATGATTTGACTAATGAAACGTCATTTATAACTAATTTTCAACCTCAAGGTTGTTAATAATTAGTAACTCATGATTTATGTGTTCAAATTAGCCTTGAAAATTTTGTTTCGTGTTGATTCTTGAGTTATTTGTTTGGGGTTCGAGAATTGTAGATTATTGTATCTTTGGAAACTAGTTAGCATGTAAATGTCACAATTGCTTGATGTATGATCAGCTTCTGGGTCCTGCAGTCTCACTCTTAGATTAACAAGGGCATCAGTATTTAGTTTCTCTTCCAAGATTTTCAAGAGCGGTTATCTCTTCATGTTGCAGTTGTCTAGGAAATGTCAGTCTCAGAAAAATCACAGCAGGCTGAATTGATGACGCTTATATTGAATTATAACCACGCTAAGTTGTATTAGCCTAGATTAAGTTTAAATCTGTCATAAAAAATCAACCTTGACGTGTGTCAATATTCTAATTAAAAAGTTTGTGAGACGTCTACACATTTTGTTAACTTCTAGTGAGCTAATAGGTTTTTGAAAACTAACATTTGCGTACTTCAAAAATGATACAGAAGTTTGATCGTAAGCAGCGGTAGTCAAAAAAGTAAAATGAATGACAGATATACTACATTTGGATTGTTGCTTAGACTTATAAAAGAATACTGGGATTAAAATGTAAGCAGTTAAATAACTTTCTGAAGAAATGAGCGTGGCAAACTACTTTCATACAGCGCAACTAAAACGTTGAATGGACTAATTTAATGGAGCACTTACTTAGCTTTCAAATTCTTTTCAGTTGTCTATTTTTTTCTATTAGTGACGTGAATGAGGGATCATTGTCTGGTCGCCAGCTTTTAAAAGGGCGATAATTAACCTGAAACCATAGATAACAATCGATCTTTGTGAGTTAAATCCACAGGTATCTAACGATAGAAAAGCCAGTAAGTTCGCTCTCTGAGAAATATTTGGAGTAATTAGCTAGTCATTGTCCACACCGTTGTACTGATTGACTGGGGCCGTTTTTTCCTAAAATTGTGGTTTAATTATATTTTACATTTTTATTTTAAAATGCTTTCTTTTCTCCCCATAGACCAGCAGTAAAGAATTTTGAAGAAAGTCATGAATTTGAAGAACGTTTAAAAAAACTATCTTCAGACGAACCATTTTTCTTCTTAATTAAACCAGCTAATTCTATTTTAGAGGTAAGAATTAATGAATATTTATCATATATTTTGGTCGTAAGAGATTTTATACTTTCTTAATTAAAAAACATCTTATTAATCAAACATAATTCCATTGGTTATAACAGTGTCGACAATGACGAAACAGTATTATATAACATTTTTACTTTGCCTATGTTCGGCGTCTCATTGGGGATACACCATACTTCTTAGGAGTTGTCCTGTTTTAACCTATGGCTATGAAATGGGACCTCTAGATGTGGAGGACATTCCTAGTGTAAGTCATAGGTGTTTTTGAAGTGTTGTTCCGGTATATTTAAGGTCATTACTTGGGGTTGGATATTGGGTACAGAAAAAAACGACAAATCTGTTAACAGAGCTACAAATCTTTATCAGTCAAGGTGGTTGGGAAATGTAATAAATATGTCCGATTCAATACTGGCTAATGTCGGAGTAAGGAGACTAAGGATGTACAAACCATGATGTAGGATCTGTCCATAAAATGATTAATCGTTGAACTGTGCCATGTTGTTATGCTCAGATTACCTGGTTGAGGTCCGCGTGGTTTTTCGTAACCGATGGCTAGAGATGGTAGGTGATGGTAGTTTCAGGATTCGTCACAATGACACTGAAATGTTCAATCTTCATCATGATTACTTGTCGAGTTTCAAAGCTATTGATTGATCGATCAAGTTGCAATGTGGTCTTTTGAAGGCAATTGGGAAGGAGTTCACGAGTTCCAATTTGTTAGAGATCTGGATTCGAGTCTTTCTGTCAATTAGCTTTAGTCGTCTAACACGAGCACATAACCTGGAGGACACATCAAAAACCGAAGGTCTAGGGTTCAATCCCTGTGTGCGGGGTCGTGGATACGCACTTCTGCGGAGTCCCATACTAGGACGATACGGACGTCCAATGCTTCCAGGTTTTCAATGATAGTCTAACATCTGTTTGTTCAGAGTTGCGATAAAACACTATCGTTTTATATTACCGTGAACTGTGTCTATCAATACACGTTCACATAGCAAAGCGTATACATCGTAATAAGTTATATAAGAGCTTCTTGATTGTGCTGTGAAAACGCATTCTCAAAAACTTGAAACCTTAATGTTGATAGTTACATACTCATTGGTTTAATAGTGAGTTCAGCGACATTGTATGAATTGAAATCTATTGCTTTTTACCAAAGATGCGATCATTATTAGGTTCAGAACTCCCTCTCTATTAAAGTTGCATGATGATTTCATTCTACGATAATACTATTACTATGGTTATTAATAACATTATTATTACTATTATTGTCAGTATAGTGGTCCATTGGGATTGCTAAATGTTTTTGAGGTCACGAACCAGTCTAAGTTGGACAAGTTTGGAAACCGTGACTGGTTGAGTTCAATCTTGTTGGATATGAAACAATCACTCCAGGCGATAGAAGAGGGTTGCGAAGTATCACGAATCGATTGAAATTAGATATATATACCAATGAATCCTGACCCATCAGTATTCCACTCTATTCTATATTATTATTCAAGTCACTCACTAGGCAAAGACCAACGTACCTGACTTCAAATCAGACTAAAGTGTGAGGGCTAGTGATAATACCTGGGTGCCTAAACTGAAGCAGATGGAGCGTGGTTCAGATGTGCGACTTCGTGACTGGAAGTCGAAAGTCTTAACCACTGAAGCATCTTTCTACAATTAATGTTCACCTCACCAATCTATTTTTTGTCTCTGTCTAGTACCCTGCACCTAATATCAGCGTTACTTATTCAGTGTCCTAGTATCTCAAAAACAATTAACAATAAGTTTAATAGGAACTAATCTAATTCTTCCTCTCTTATTTTTAATTTTTGCCTATTTTTACACCTTGATATATATGATGTGGTATTTGTCACAAGAATTTTATCTAACTTTAGATGCTTTTAAAAATCAATGTGGACTGGAAATATATTTTGTCTTAGTGTATAGGATCCTTTAGTAATACTCACTCACGACTCTACTACGGATTGAACTCATAATCTTTTTTTACACTTTGTAATAAGAGCTTTACTATTAGGTTAGGATGCAATAATATACACTTCCAACTCTAATCAACAGTATGTATGATGAAAATTCTTGTGTGATATATTTAACTGGTATTGTTTTTCTTCTTTCAATGTTAAATAATTACAATTATAAAGTGTTTCTAGATTATTGGAATCATAAACTATTTCATCTTACATTTCATAACCGATTTACACAGAATGTTATCCATAGAATTAGTATATCATAGTGAAGCGGAAGTGTCAAGTATTGTTCGTGTATATTTGTATCTTTCTTTTTTCATGTCTAACCCTTCATTACTTTTGGTTCTTATTTATATCAAGAAAACATTTCTACAAGTAGCTGAACAATTACGTATATCCTCATGGTTTTTCAGCGGTTCATTATCAGTTATCACTTCTGTAAGCTATATACAATTATTTGTTAAATGTTTTAAATCTTCAAACATATATGTTTATGGTGAAATTTTCGTTTTTAACTAAATTTTAATTTGTAGGTTTTATTCGATCGATCTCAGTTATAATATAATCGAAAATCAGTTATTACTAATGTACTATTTCATCCTAGTATGGGACTCTTCAAAAGTGCCCACATATGATTCCACCAACAATCGAACCGAAAACCTTTAAGTCTCGATTCCAATACTTGACCATTAAAACAACTGTGTTGTAATTCAATAGGAAGTTATACACTCATCAGAAGTCCCATACTACAACGAAACAGGATTTCAGGATTTCCTAATTCTTAGTCGTACATCAAATGAAATAAATCCATACTGAATACAATCTATTAATCAAACAAATCTCTTCAGATAAATTTTAATTTGTTAAAGTGCGAGGGGGGTGAGTTGAGGTTGTAACAATACCAAACATTAGTCCACGAGCTGGTCGAATATGCGTAATTAAGGACTTTTAAATGAAAGTGACTATTCAGTAGTTTTTAACATATGTATTGGTGTTCTCAAAAGCTCATATTTCACTTGATCAATCGTAAACATTGTAGGAACCAAATAGGGATCAGTTTAAATTACCACACTAGATCCGGATTCTAAGATATGGCCATCAAGGTAAAAATATCAAAGTGGTGTTATTAGTGTTAGTAAACAAGATCACACATTAGCTGTTTTCTAATCATCTCCGATGTCACCCAGCGCTTTATGTTGTGATAAGTCGTAACTAGGCCTACGTAATACACATCCCAAAAACCTTAAATTATTCAATTACTCATTATTGGTTGATAAATATCAGCGCACAAACCACATGCTTCATCAATAGTTAGTAAAAATAGTTCATATTATTTTGGGTGAAGTTGTCAGAACTTTAGCATCGAATTACATGCAATATAAGCTTTGAACAATTGGATATACATATTGAATAAAAGTAAGTGGATGAATGACCAGCCTAACCTATATCAAATTTATTATTTGAGCTAATCTCAACATCTATAATGTTTTTGTATACTACATTATTTCATGATTAAATATCCTTGTCACTGACTTTCCAACTATTCGTTAATTTTTCTCAGGTTACCAACTTTGTTTTTATATCATTATTTCAAGTAGGTTATGATAGTGATGAAGGTATTAACCTGTGTACATATTGACTATCAATAATTTGTTGTTGTGAAATTATGTGAACCGATTAGTAATAATAATGGTAATATGACTATTAAGTAATTTATCTTTATCAAGCATTGTTTACCACATTCTGCATTTATTTACCTATCGGAGGCATGACTTCATGGCTAAAACATTCACCTTTCAATCCCTAAGTCTCAGGTTCTCGAACCCCTCTCTCCACCTACTTCAGCTTAGGTAATTGGGTAGTTTTATTAGTGCATACATTAAGATTGTGACTAAAAGCCAAGTATACTAATTTGTTTAAATAGAGCAAGAACAAACATTGATGCAGAATAGTATGATTTCATATTATTTCGAGGTTTCTCGTCAGCTGCTTACAAACCAAAATTGTGATAGAATTTTTACATGGAGATAGTGTGAAACAATTGACATAAATGAGTGTAAATAACGTGATTACAATAATGACTATATATATATGCTAGAAACAGGTCAGAGGTCAACAGAGGGGGGTTAATCCAGGGTGGGGGGTGTAATAATTTAGTGAAGTTCATAAATTGTGTGATAATTGTAGAGATTAATGGAATTAAATAATGATAAGGTAGATTACGTAATAATAATTAAATAGGGTTTGGAAAGTTAAGATGATTTAAGAGGATCAGGTGATGGAAATGTGTGAATAAAATTTATTTTAAGAATTAGGTAATAGGGGGGGAATATAAATTATCTTAGAATAAGTAAATGAATAAAATAATCAAAACACAAAACAAACAGAAACAAAAGGATAGTGATAAGTTTATTAAAGTCTCTTTTTGGATGGTTTCAGTTTCTTAATTGCAATGGCTTCAGCAAAGCGGAGAGTGGTAGTAGTTCTTTGTCTATTGATAATTTTAAACGCGCGCATAATATCGACGGTATGCCCGGTGTCAAGTAGATGCCGAGCTATTGCACTGTTAAAAGCTTTAGTCCATCGCAGCATCAGGTTCTTCGGAATATGCTCAGAAATGCGAACCTGTACTCTTCTCTCAGTTCTTCCAATGTATGTGCCACGGCACGTACATGTGAATTGGTAAATGCAGTTGGAGCAACTGAGGGGAGAGGACTTGTCAATTTTCGTTTGTTTCAGTGAGCAGTATGTTTTCCATAACGTAGTCAGTTTGGCTGCCGGGTAGGTCACTTTTAAAGCGGAATTAATTCTGTGATTGATAATTCCGGCGACTTCATCTCCTTTGAAGCGTAAGGATAGGAAGCAGGTTTTCTTTTCAACTGTATCATGCTTAATCGGAGGGTTTGTATTAGCATATTTGTGGATGAATTTATCCGGATATGCATTTTCACGTAGGCATTTGGTGATTGTAGTGATTTCTTCTTCGAGGCATTCTTTTGAGCAGATTTTTCGTGCGCAGTCAAAAAGGTTTCGCACAATACCCTTTTTCTAACTCATTGGACAGAAGCTGTTAAAGTTGAGATAAACTCCGCTCCAAGTATTTTTGCGATGAATGTGTCTTTGTAGTGTGCCGTCTGATGTTCGCCTAATTCCAATATCTAGGAAATGGAATTTATCATCAACTTCATGTTCCATGGTAAATTCTATATCTTTGTGTACTTTATTGAACAGACTAAGTAGGTACATGGAGTGTTGGTGATTTTTGCAGACAAGGAACGTGTCATCCATATATCTGCAGTATAATATGAATTCATACTATTCTGCATCAATGTTTGTTCTTGCTCTATTTAAATTCATAAAGGGAACCAATTGCATGAAATACTAATTTGTGTCTGGTTAATGAGTCAATACTAATAATAGTAGTGGTAATAATAATAATATTTGCCTATAGCTCAAGTGTTCGGTTTTAATCATTACTTAAGCATTTGTTTTGTCATGCATATCATCCTTATTCTTTTGTTTATTTACTATATAATCTGGGCGTATCAGAATATTTTACTGATGATACATATTTAGAGAGAGAGAGAGAGACAGGAAAAAAGTGAATAACTCCAAAAATTATCACTTTCTACTGGGTTGTTCAATCTGACCATTGTTTTTCTTTGTATATTCCTTTTTTCAATAAAATAAAGGAAGAATGAGGTTAAAGATATATAATTGGACAAATTATTTCGTATCATAGTGATTAATATATTCCGTAAAAAGTAAAATGTAATCGGCCATTGAGTGTGAGCTCAGACAAACTCGACTTATTGACTATTAAATGTATAATGTTTATACTTTAGTTCCCTATATTTGGTCCTAAATCATGTATCTGGTATAAAGTGACTCCTGCACTCCATGTATGACGTATCGATCAAGTATCCAGTCTACTGGTAATATAATCTTGGTCATCAATTGTACTATGGTAGTATATGGTATGGAAACTCACTCGTTGCATCAGTATTCTATTACATTAGATATTAGACGAGTTTATCATACAGTGGGGGATTTTGTGAAGATTGTTGTGTTTCATAGTTTACATCATGAATTGATCGTAGATAACCGTCGAAAATCAGGAATTATTGAACATATGTTTCGTCCTAGTGTGAGACTTTTCAGTGATGCTCATTATAATCTGACCTGGGACTGAATCTGGGACCTTCAGGTCTCATGGTGATCGTTTAACTTTTAGACCAGAAAATCGGGATCTATTGGTTTTCATTTCTAACTTCAGTCAATTCACGATACTCCACAATCATAATAAAATACCACTAATAAGTAACTGCTTCAAACCTGAAATTGAGGATCTCATAAACAATAATAAACTCTGGTGAATTTAACTTCAACTTTCAAAGAATAACCAGTCAGTCAGTAACAACGTAGAACTTCGTACGTACGTACGTCAGTTCGAGTTGCCACACCACAATAGCACAGAGATGCAGTTGCCGATTCAAATCCCGTAGTGGTAGAGGTAATAAGAGTATAAGCAGTAATCGGGAAAATTAGTGTTTGGAGATGTTATTTAAAGAGTATAATACAGTGAAATAGATTTGGGAAGAGAAAAAACGAGACAAGGAGGAATAAGGAGATCAAAATTTGGGAGAACACAACGAGTGGATGCACCTGCGCCATTGCAAACGATTTTGAGCCATGTCATTCAGGGTCTCTAACCATCGGTTGCTATCATCTCGCGGTCCCCAACCAGGTAGTCTACACCTACCAACATGACTGAGTTCACTTGTCAGTGACTTCATGGACTTGTGCCATGTTTTGGTCTGGCCGCCCCTAGCTTTCTTCCAACCTACTCCTATACCACTGAACATCGCACGTCGAGGCAGTCGGTCGTTGGGCATACGTAACACGTGTCCCAGCCATTTCAACTGATGAAGTTTCGCTACGTTATCAATTGATTTGCCATCCTTACCTAGTACCCGTTTCCTAACAACTGTGTTACTTACTCGATGGTCCCATGATATACGAGCAATGTTTCGAAGACACCTATGATCAAATACTAGTAACCTACGAATATCCTCTACTCTTACCTGCCATGTTTCACTGCCATAAAGTAGGACGGAACGAACTGCTGCGCAGTAAACACGTCCTTTGGTTGATAGACGGATATCTTGCCTACGCCATAAATGACGCAAGTTGGTAAAAGCTAGTCGAGCCTTCTGTATCCGTGCTGAGATTTCGTCACACACCAGACCACAAGGGCTGATGAGGCTTCCAAGATAAGTGAAGCGGTCGACACACTCAACTACTTCACTCCCTATCACTTGTTCGGGTGTCGATGTAACCCAATCCTGAAGCAACATTTTGCATTTCGAGGGAGAGAATCGCATGCCGAACATGCTTGCATTGTTGCTTAGAGTGGTCAGAAGACTGCATTTTGTCAGCGTTTTCACGAAATAGAACTGTGTCATCAGCATATTCCAAGTCAACAAGTGAATCTCCTGGTAGAAGTTCAACCCCTGGAAATTTAGATGAGGAGAGTGTTATCTCTAAAAATACGTCGACCACAAAGTTGAACAAGAATGGGGAGAGTGGGCAGCCCTGACGAACAGCACTTGATGTAATCAATTCTGATGACAGTTCGCCATAAGCTCTCACTCGACCAGTTGTGTTTGAGTAGAGAGCCTTTATAAGGTTAATGTACTTCTTTGGTACTCCTTTCAGTGACAAACACTGCCATAGAACCTTACGATCGACAGAGTCGAATGCCGCCTTAAGGTCGAGAAATACTACGATTGTGGGGCGTCTGAACGTGTGTCTGTGTTCTAGAACCTGACATAGTGTGAATATGTGGTCTATACAACCACGTCCAGGTTGAAAACCAGCCTGATTTTCTCTAGTCTGCTCTTCACGAGCTTTAGTTAGGCGTCGAAGTATTATTGAAGCTAATATTTTAGACACTATATTTGTCAAACTGATTCCTCTGTGATTGTCACAAGAGGACTTTTGTCCTTTCTTATAGACTGGCACAATCAGTGATTGAGACCAGTCAGATGGGATTACGTCCAGATCCCAAATTCTACCTAAGACCTCAGTTAATCTCACTGAACCACCATCCTTAAAAATCTCAAGAGTAAACCTGTCAGGGCCTGCTGCTTTCCCTTGCTTCAGATTTCCTATAGCTTTTTCAACTTCGTAAAGAGTCGGAGAACCTATATTAACTTGCCATTCAGGTTGACTGGAGATCGTGGGAAACCAAAGTGTGGCTGAAGGCCAGTTGAACTGATCCCTAAAGTGTTCTGCCCATCGATCCAATCTCCGGGATTGAGAATGTATAATATGTCCATCTTTCTCTGAGATTGTTTCGGTAACAGTCGGGTTCCTAATACCGGTTTCCTTAACGAGTCTGAACAATTGTCTGCTATTACCTATCACCGCTGCCTTTTCTATCTCTCTTGCTTTCGCTACCCACTATTGTTCGTAATCATTGCGTAGGCTTCTTGTCAGCTTGCGCTTAAGCTGACTCCGCTTTTCGTTATGTTCGGATCCAGATGGAATGAGTTTCCGAGCATCTATCAGTGCGGTAGATGCTGCTGAGATCCAGTGTTGCTCCCTAACCTTACGGGTTACCGTACTAGCAGATATCAAAGAATAATAATGTTTCTCGAAACAATCAGACGTATTTTCTACTTTCAATAACCTTATCTCATAACAGAATATTGCCACACCTATGTTGACTTTTTAAACGAAAATTCAAACACATGTTATCGAATAGCAAGTTGTTAGTTTTTAACACTAAACATAAAGTTGAATTTTAGTTAATTTATATATTTTTACAGTTTCGAATATTAAATAGTTGGTGATAATTGATAGAAAGTTTCGTACACACAGTTTTATGTTTGTTAGTGAATGTTACAATATTCATCAGCAAAAAAGTATCTAGAATGACGTGGAGATTCATACTCTGTTGCTTGAGTTCACTTTGCACCTAAAATGCCCTGGTAAAACTGAGGTGGCGAGAATCTGCTCCTCTTCCCAAAATGGTCTCATACAGCCACGTATTTACCCCCACTATCATGAAAGTCCTATCCACTGTCTTCATGTGACTGAGGTGTTTTTTCAAAGGCAAGTTCTATGGAGAAGAAAATAGAAGGGAAGCAGATGGTTGTGAGAAAAGAAAAGTAGAAAAAAATCACAGGAGATTAAGACCATGGTAGAAAAATAGGTTGTTTCTTTTGTATACATAGTTCTGTTTTTTTTAAATGGATGGCAAATGCTACGAAAATATCAAGAAGCCTTGGGTAGCTTTCTACTTAACTTTTATATGACTTAGAACGCAGATTCTATTTTGATCGAATAGCCTGCGTTCACAAGGTGTTCAATTATAGAATTTCTTAATGAACCATTTTCACCTCTTTTCAGCCAATATGGTAATGTTCTTGAATTCTTTTGGATAAAAGGAACATCTAACGACTTATATAACTGGCTCCATATGAAAAGGTAAATTGATAAATGCACATGGAATTAGTTAGATGAGATGATTTATCCTTTAGATTGCTACTGAACATAAGCCAGTTAGAGAAATCTAATCGTAAAGTTGCTATGAATAGCGTCCTATTTAGAAAGTCAGAAATCCTACTTTCCAAGATGTTTGTAGCTGTATCAACTTTGAAATTGACTTTCATATAAAGAGTTTTCTTTAGTATAGAGGCTGTTTTTGTTTTGGAATGTTTAAGTCTTATGTTCTTATCAATAAATACCTATGGATACCCGTTTTCGAAAAGTATTTTTCTTAAGGAGGTTCAGTTCATTATCTATGATCTTGTGACTACAAACTCTTCATATCTGTGTAGTGAAGACCCAGTTGCGAAAGCTTGATAGCTAACCAAATAAGCTACTTCTTTATATTGCGTTACCAAGTTTTATTCATTTAACACAATTAACATTTAAATTTTCCCACTAAGATGTTTTCTTTTTAAATTTCTCTTTTCTTTTGTATCTCTATAAAAAAAAACATAAAACTTAAATACTTGTATAGCCTTACATTGAGACTTTGAAATCATCCAATGATATATTTACAGAGATTTTAGTTTTTAAAGATTCTCAAGTTTATTCTTATCCTGGTCTATTTTCAAGTAAGTTCAGTTAATCGTTGTTGTTGTTTTTTTGGTTCATTTGATTGTTCTCTCTTTGTTTATCTTCGTTTCTATACATTCATGAAATTTTAAGCACATGCCTTGTGAAATGTATATTCTATCCTTCATTATTTTGTGCCTCAACTCCAAAAGTTTATATATATTTATATATGCAATGGGACTGGATGATTATCATCATTATCTGCCCATGATCTCTTGGACCTCCAAATCAAGAGCCCCCAAATGCTCTGGTACGGCCGAGAGTGGGTAGAGCCCGCTTTACCTCTCGAAATGCTCTCATATGGTCACGCGTATATAGCCTCTGCCAGGGAAGTCCTACTCGTGGGTGTTGTTTACGAAATTGAGAGGACGAAAAGCGGATGCCCGGCGCTTTAACCGGGTTGGTGGACATGAAGAGTCCACCTAGTGGAGTTGGAAAACCCTCATTCCAAACCACTGGTACACATGGGCTCCAGTATCCTGAGGGAACAAATGGCGTATGAACCAATTATTGGTCACCAGCTACCATGGGACTGCATCTCCTCGTGATACTCCACTACTAAGCAATGCTCATATACGATACCACGAAGGATTAAAGCCAAACGTTTCAGATCTTGCAGCGAACATCTACCATTAGAATCATTCGGTTAGCGTCCAATAGTATAATTCGAACACTAATTGAAGGTGAAATTGTACCACTTGATGTTGACCCGTTGATTCTAACGGTTAGGTGTTAACAACGAAATGTAAATTTCCCGGGTTTGATTCCCAATGTACTCATGAGTGTGTGTATTGTTGAGGAGGGTGTTGTACTAGAGCAAAACGGTTGTCCAGTGCTCTTTGATCTTCATTGATTGTCTAACCAAGATCGATTCGTGATGTAAATCACGTCATAATTTTTAAAATAAAGTATCCTATTATACACACACTCCGATAAAGTGAGCGTGTTTAATCAAGAAAGCTCGCGTCAGTAAAAAAAATCAATTTTGTTCCCATCATTTTTTTTGAATATTCTTATTATTATCATGTAGATAAAAATTTCCAATTAACAAATGATACGGCGGAATTATATCAAGATCTAATATTATGGACGTTACGTGAACGACAGCCGGGATTTCCGAAATTATCTCATTTTGATTGGTGGGAATTTGCATCGAATGAATTATTGGACATTCAAAATCATAATACTAATAGTACTAATACTACAGATGATAATAGTAGAAGTAATAGTAACGATGATTCAGTAGTTCAACAATCATTACATTCAAATACAAGTCCAGTACAATCATATCGAAATTATCGTTTACTTGGATTATTTGTTATTGATCAAATAATAGAAAAGAGTTCTCCATCTAGGTGAATTAAACATTTAAATTGGTTTGTATTTTTCTTTGATAAATAATAAAGTAATCTCCTATATCACTCCTTTAATCATATGGACTCTGTAATAATCATCTTTTTGGCGAATTATTAATTTCTTTACGTTTTTTTTCTTCACAATTATGTCTGGTTATCGGTCGTTATCGCTTTTCATTGTTCTAAATGATTGGTAATAGACTTGATTTATGCATTTACAAGTTACTTATTGTTTTTTAGAATTAACCGTAGACTAGAAATTGTTCAATAATTTTCTAGTTGGATTCTTTTAGAACATTTTCATGCTGATTGTTTGTTATGTGTGCATTATTTACCTACATACGCCTATTATCTGTCGTGGTGGAACATAGGCTGCCCACTAGGATTCTCCATCGAACTCTGTCCTGGGAAATCCTCTTCAGTTTTTTCTAGTTGCTATTCATTTTTTTGATGTCTACTTCTAATCCCCAACGCAATGTGTTCCTTGGTCTTCTTTTCTTCCAGAATTCTAAGTAAGGGCTTTTCTCGCGATTCAGTTTGATGATGTATCTATGTCCTATCCGCCTCCAACGTGTTTTTCTAATTTCTTCTTAAGCTGAGAGTTAGTTTGTTCTCTCCCACAGCACGTTGTTGCCAACGGTATCCGATTAACAGACATCGAGTATCTTGAGTAGACAATCGTTTTTAAATACCTGTATATTTTTTGATTATGTTTATAGTTCTCTAAGTTTCAGCTGTGTACAGTAGGACTGTTTTGACATATGTGTACATTCGTACAGTTAGATTACTATATTCATTTAGATGTGAATAATATTATTAGTGATTGTCGTTTTTTAATCTATTTTACCATTATTATTACTGTTAACTATTTATCGAGACTTCAACCACACAATTGATTGACACGTCAAATCCGGCAAGGTAAAACAAAATTATCTGTAAGGACAGTTCTATAATTACGAAATTATATGAAATACGATAAAAACTTCAACTTATGAGAATGTCAACAACAGAGAAGAATGTTTCTTAAAATGGATACGTAGAGTTATTTATAACAATTTACGATATGATATATGACAGCTAATAGCCGTGTCGAAATGACGTCAACAATTTTAGAATGAGAACGATGAACAATTAAGTATGTAAGTTTTTACAACAAAACCAAAGTTTAACAGATACACTAAAATTGAGATCATCTGTCGCAAGCATTAAAAAAAGCGATCAAAATCATAAATGAATGGAATATTCATTACACTAGTTGCTCAAAAGTTTTCAGAAAGGAAACGGGTTACTAAATATTAATAAGTAGTATGGATTGATTCACAAAAGAAAGTGGATTTCAAAGAAAAGGGATAAAGATAAAAAAACTTGAAAGTGATGATTATTATTGCCACTACCATTATTATTATTACTATTATTATTACCATTATTATTATTATTGGTAATGGTAGTATATATATATATATGTGTATATTCTTGTGCATTTGTTAATTCCTTGAGTTATGATGTTTTTTATTTTGCTCTTACGACAAGCCTCCACTTCCTTTATTAACTTTTGTTATATATTTTACGGTTCTTGTAATTGACAGTTAGTTAATTTTATACTTGTTGTTCAGTTTTAGACCATAAACACCCTAGTCATGCACAGATTGCATGTTATTTCTTATTTGTGACAAGCTGTGATTACACACTTGGTGTATATGTATATGATCATGTGCGTCATTCAATTTTCTGATCGGGTACTATAAATAAATTATATTGTGTTCAACCACCAATAGGCATTGAGATCCCGATCACTGTTTACGGTTAGTTGTGTTAGTAATCAAGAGAAGGTTATCGGGTAGATTGGGCTAAGGTGAACTGTTATGACTTGTGATGCTAATCGATATTATGTTATATTATCTAACCAGTATTCCAATTATTGATTAATTCACCTACATTAAAGGTGAGATCGGTGACTTTTTAGTTATCGATTGAGAAACCAACCGATAAACAACACCAAAGACCATAGGACTTAATCAGAGAGGGGTTTTGTGGAGATTGTAGTAATTTAATAATTGAATACATGAGTCAATTGAATCTAGATCACTGTGAAAACCTGGAAGCACTAGATAGCCGTTTCGTACTAGTATGGGACTACTCAGCAGTGCGCATCGACGATCCTGCCCCGCGAGATTTGAACCCAGGACCTACCAGTCTTGCTTAACACAATGGTGGACGGTGGTGCAATTTCGTGGATTGGTTGAAGTTAAACATTAACGCCGTTGAATGCCGGTTCAGCGGTTTCGTGGTGAAGCGCTCGCACGCGAGACTGATAGGTCCTGGGTTCGAATCCCGCGAGGCGGGATCATTGATGCGCACTGCTGGGGAATCCTATGCTAGAATGAAACGGCCTTCTAGTGCTTCCAGGTTTCCCATGGTCGTCTAGCTTCAGTAGACTCATGAATTCAATTATCACATTACAATAGGATTTATTAATCTTTGAGTTCCTTTTAACTCAGTGGCTATTCAGAAGACAAAAATAGGAGACCGATTATTTGTCTGATGTACTCAATTCAATCATATCTCAAAACTCATACAATATAGAGAGTAAAATCTTGACCACACATCAATATAGTTAAGAAATTACAATAACAGGATAATTACACCATAAGTGAAATAGAACTGAGTGATAGATTCGTAATTAATTAACAGTAATTTGAGAAAGGTATGACATACAATAACAGTTTGTGCATCAGGAAAAAGCTTACAATCATGAGAATATAAAAATACAATTATTTTGATTATTTAATAATTAAAGAACAAACATATGCTAAATTAATTCCAGATAGGGTCCAAATTTTACAGTACCTGTCCGATTATAACGTAAATTATTAATGAGCGAATTCTGTAATTAAGTGACCTGATTAAATGGGCAATATATCTCTACCCACTCAGCATCAAGTCTATACGTTATTAATAGGTAATGCATACTAACACGTTGTCCAAATGTATTATCAACAAATGTAATGCAACTTTGTTACTGATTCTATTAAACTAATATTTCTGTTATTATAAACTCAGGGTATTGGAATTCGGGAGGAAATTAGCTCTTAAACGTCTACCGCATATAATACGGTAAGTGTATTATACCCAATTATGATAATTATTTAATTGTGTGAGTTGCGATGAATTAGAATAATGTTTTAAAAAGTTTTCATCACAAATTAATTTACAGTGGGAATGATCGAAAATTAAGGAGAAATAGAATGGTTACACTCTCAATCTGAAACTAACCTATAGACTCCAGCATCCTTGAGTTTAGCGTCGAGCACATTATCTTTAGTACACTGAGTTAGAATTTATTGGTCCATATTTTTGACCATAGTCCTCTTTGCAACAGTGCTTAGGTTTCACGGAACAATCGAGTAAGCAGTTTTGAGGTCGCGCATACAATACTAGGTTAAGTTGACAAATCAGTTTATTAGGTTGTAAATCTTCATTGAATGAGGTGGTTGAGTCATGTATTACGTATATTCAGCCACCACCTACCTCAACAAGTGGTGATGGCTGATGTAATAGTAAGTTTAATGGAAGTTAGAAGCTGACAAACTAAGATGTACTATCAGTCCATGAAGTCATTGATTGATTAACTGAGCTGTGTAGGTAGATGCCGACTATCTAGTTGGGGTACGCGCGATTTTGGTAATCAGTAGGTAGTGTCTATAGGCAACATGGTTCAGAATCATTCGCGATAGCGTAGATCCATTCACTCTTTGTCTTCCCTTGGATTCTAAGTTTCTTAACTATCTCATAAGGTGTTTTTATTCCACTAATTCATATTTTCTTCTAGAATCATTATCTTTTATTCACAACCTTTAATACTTGTACTATGGAGTGTCGTGTTGATGTGATGTTACAACTTAAACCGATGCACATGTGTCAGGTTCTTCGTTGTATATGGATGGTAGACTGAGAAGTGTTGTGTAGAGCATTTGTATAGCGTTATAGGTCGATGCTTTCTCTAACGTTGTGAGCGTTGTTCCGCTTTACAATAATTATCATATAGCGATAGGTTGTAAATGTTTAATAAAAGCGAGTAGTGAATGAATAAATCTTACGATTTAACCAACGTCCAGTTAATCGTTAGTATATGGGATTTGTGGAAATTATAAAATCTTCATAGTTTAAACCACTAACTGATCTTAGCTAGACCACCATTGAGAATGTGAAAGCTCTGGACGGTCGTTTCTTTATAGTATAGGACTTCTTAACGTTATACATCTAGGAATCGAACCTAGAACCTTCGGTTTCGCGCGCGAACACAATCTGTACACGTATAACTCCAGTCAATTCACAATATTACGCAATACTAATTCGTTGCCTGCAGTGGATAACTGTCTCACACTTAACATGGTTCCATAATAAAACGAGGATCCTGTGCAATGCTTCCAGGTCTTCAATGATGATCTACCTAATATCAGTTCGTGATTTAGAGTTATTCACTTAAAGTAAACCTTGAATAGAGAATTTTTCGAGATATTTACCTAAACAGTTATCCGAGAAGCTTAGATAGACTGCCTTTATGAAATAAATGAATCGTGATTACTAATGGAATTTAGGATGTGCGTTTCATTTGACACTCATCAGGTAGATGTAATTGTCTGTCTTTCAGTGTTGATATTCACACTGAAACTTCATAAAATCCTTACAGTATGAACATATATCATAGGATATTAATGAAATTTAAAAAAATCATGGCGAGACTATAATTTATGGACAAACCAATCAAAGTTTCGGATTTTGGCGCGAAATTCACTCATCCATTTGACTAAATGGAATCTTTTCATTATAGCTGATGTCAGTTCGTGATGAAAACCCTATATCTAATTCCTAACCTTAACCATCAACTATAGATCATAATTCTAATCCCTCACAATATTTCATAGCCCTCATTTGATCCTAGTTATTTGGTGGACACTCTCAAGGTCAGTCTGGCGTCGCTCAAAGATCATCCATAGATTATAGTCTCGTCTAAATCATCTATTTTTGTTCATTTACTTGTTTTTTTTGTTTTAACTTCTTTTCTTCTTTCTTTCTCTTTTTTTAATTTAGCTATTTCCAATTAGCATGGACTAATGATGTAGAAAGTTTAGAGAATTTGGCTATGAGAACAATGACTGTACCAAATTTCATTGTTTTAAATCCTGTTACACATGAATTATTTGTATATTTATCAAATCACTATTCATCATATTCTTTATTATTTGATGAAAATAATTTAATTAATTTCTTAATGCTTATTAATGACGGAAAGATTAAAGTAAGGAAATCATTGGGTTTATTTATTTATTTGTTTCTTGAATGATTTTAAAATAATTATATTCAGAAGAGGTTTTGTGGAGATTTTAGAAATTTCAATAGTTGAAATCGTGAGTCAATTTGAAGCTAGACCATCATGGAAAACCTGGAAGCACTGGACGGTTGTTTCGTCCTAGTATGGGACTACTTAGCAGTGCGCATGACAATAATCATCTGCTTACTAGTGACTGACTTCAAGAGGCATTTCCCGGAGTTTTAGTGAGAAGCCGTTACCAGTGGAGTTCAACCAGGTCGGTTGTGAGATATCATCTCACTGAAGACAATAGTGTACGGTGGTGCAATTTCGTGGATTGGTTGAAGTTAGACATTAACACCGTTGGATGCCGGCTCAGTGGTCTAATGGTTAAGCGCTCGCACACGAGACTGATCGGTCCTTGGTTTGAACCTCATAGGGTGGGATCGTGAATGCTCACTGCTGAGAAGCCCCATACTAGGTCGAAATGGCCATCCAGTGCTTCCAGGTTTCCCATGGTAGTCTAGTTTCAATTGACTCATGATTCCAACTACTGAGATAATTATATGTTCGAAAGTTTATTGGTTTGTTTCATAAACTCTGATTAAATGTTATGGAAGTTATTTTAGTCTGCAAGTAGTATGTATTCTGTTTATTTATTTGAACACATAAATATTAGTACAAAAAGGCAACGAAAACATATGCCCCACATTAGTCACTTGATTTGTATGTGGGCTGTGATACTGCCCAAACCGAAATAGGTGGTTTCCTTAGGAGGCCATGCCCGGAGCCTTCGACCTCAAGGTCTGATCCATAAGGCAGTGGAGCAATGTCAGGAGATTCACTCCCATGGTAGCCGGTGACCAATGATTGGTTCATACGCCATTTGTTCCCTCAGGATATTGGAGCTCACGTTCACCATTGGTTTGGGATCAGGGTTTTCCAACTCCCCTAGGTGGATCCTTCGTATCCGCCAACCCGGTTGAAGCACTGGACATTCGCTTTTCGTCCTCTCAATTCCGTAAACAACGGTAATGTCGCGAGAAGGCAGTGAGTAGGTTTTTCCCTGCAGTGGTTGTATACACGTGGCCTTGTGAGAGCATTTCGAGAGGTAAAGCGGACTCTCCCCACCCTCGGCCGTACTAGGGCATCATGACAGTTTGATTTGATAAATTCTGTTAATGCTGGAATTGTAGCATCGAATGCTGATTTAGTGGTTTTAATAGTTAAGTGTTTGTTGTATGACCTGAAAGTCTTGTGTTGTAATGTGTGGTAGGGTCTTGAGAGTGTAGTTTCGAAGAGTCCTATACTAGGACGAAACAGCTGTTCAGTCCTCTTTTGTTTTTAGTGGTTTTTTAAATAAGATCAATATATGACTGATAATACTAACTACATATTCATTTATAACCCTATTAAATGTATCATATTATCATGGTTGGATATTTTTAATATATAAATAGCAGTTGTAAAAATACCCCACGGTATCGTTATGTTCAATCAATCGTTGACAATTGATTTTATCTTATGATAATTAGTTGAGTTAGGTTTAATGGTTTGATAATCAATTTTGTACATAAACCATCCATTCATAAAAAGTGAATGGATCTTTACCACTGCAACCGATACAAACTCATTCAATTACTTCAAACACTGATCACGATCATCACCCCGAATCCCAGCTAAGTAGTTTGCAGTTGCATAATGACTCAGACCAATAGTCAATGACATCCTGGATTGGTTAACCTTTTAGTATTTATGCGTTAATGCATCAGACTATAATATCTTGATTGTGTATCTATCCTACTTTTATGTCTATCCTATTATCCTGTAATTTAATACAACCGATTTGACCAAATATAGGTTTGGAGCTACAATCTTGTTATTCAGGACAGTTGATGCTAATATCCATCTATCTAAACCAGTGTTGATAAAGGATTGTTCATAATTACAAATCTTTTTTTTTTCAAAGTTTGGGTATTTTAAAGATCATTTATGTGTGAACCATCAATAAAAAAATCTAATTGATAATTCTGATTATAAGATTAGGTAGTAAATTTAAGATCTTAACAGACTGAATTTGTAGCAAATGCTCACCTATTCAATACTCTATTAAGTAAGTTTATTTGATAAGTATCATTTCTTGAATTAAATGATATTTATATAAGATTATTTGATCATGATATAATTTGTAGCTGACATGTGTTGCATAACATGTACATAGGGGTTTAAATTGATCTATTATTGATATTAAGAATTACATTTCATTAATCTCTATTTCTGCATTATCAGAAGGAGTTTTATGGAGATTTTAGTAATTTCAATAGTTGAAATCATGAGTCAATTGAAGCTAGACCACCATGGATGCGCACTGCTGAGGAGTCCTATACTGGGACGAAACGGTCGTCCAGTGCTTCCAGGTTTTCCATGATGATCTAGTTTCAATTGACTCATGATTTCTATTACTATATGTCAATATTAATTGAATCACCTTCAAATTCATGTTTTGTTTGTAGTTAGTATGGTAATCCAGGATGGTAGTTTCTTACTACTTTCGACTCTTTATCTAAATGTATTTATATCGTAACTTTAATGTTTATTTTGAAGTTACGAACTGATTGTATGGTTTTCTAGTTGACTAGTACCCAATTGAATGAAATGTACATTCTAGATTACACTATTCGTCATAATTCAACTTTACTAAAGCTTTAATTCATATCTTATGTTAAATGTGATAGTAGTAACCAGTTTTTATGTTACATGCTTATTAAAATAAACAAAACACTATTTCTATTTCTTTTGTCAACATTCGAACTAGGGTATTGGAGGTAATACAATTTCAATCAGATTACAACGTTTAGGATATAATTTTCTTATCGGTTTCTCGGTAAGTTTATTTAAATAGAGTTTAACTATTGACGAAATTCTTCATGTTGTAATTCATTATAAAACCACTTTTTTTCTACAAAATATCTATGTTTCTCTGTTTTAGACAGCATTCTTAATACTTAGTTGATTAATCTATAATTTTCAATTCTTCTGAATGTCTAGATGATGTATGTATTCTTTTCAATAGATTACACGCTAACGAAAAACAGTATCCTTTTAAATACACTTGGATATTTAGTCTAGCTAAGACCATAATTTATGGATTATCTTTGAGCGACGCTAGACTGACCTTGAGAGTGTCCACCAAATAACTAGGACCAAATGAGGATTATGAAATATTGTGAGAGATTCAAATTATGATTTATAGTTGATGGTTAAGGTTAGGAAATAGATTTATGGTTTTCCTCACGAACTGACATCAGCTATAATGAAAAGATTCCATTTAGTCAAATGGATGAGTGAATTTCGCGCCAAAATCCGAAATCTGTTATCTTATACTTGATTGATTCGTCCATAAATTGTAGTTTCATTTTAGTCTACATCCAACCATCTTGGCTGGTTAATTTATCACGTGATATGACCGCCAATCCCAATACGGCTTATACAATTTACATATAATATACAATACATATATATAATCCAGTTACTTAACAGTTATACAATCAAGTTATATAATAGTCTATAAATAATTCTCGAAAGTTACCCATAATCTAATCTTTGTTGGAATATAACATTAACATGATTTGATGTAATTGCTTGTTGTTTCCATCAAATGTTAATAATACTTCGAATACATTATGTTCAGATAACTGTAAAAATAGTGAACTGTTTAGATAAAATACATGTTTCATGATGCAAAGATAAATCATTGTTATTCATTTTAAACAATCTTTTAATGATTTAACAGAATGAAGCTCACAAAGAACATTTTCTTAACTAGTTTTCCATCATTAGATATGGATTTTAAACTGTAGTAGAGTACCTTTTAACTTGACTTTTCCTACTCGATTCTTTTCTATGAGGGTAGAATCAGCAACATTATTAAGGAGAGAAGTATGAAATTACTTTGAACCCAATGAATTAATTGGATTGGTGAGAAACGTAGATAAACGGGATATGCAGTCAGTCTACATAGAGTGTACACTAGTAGTTGACAATACTTGCTTAAGCTAAGAAATGTGAAACACGCTTCCATGTCGACCACTACGTCCTTCCTCCTTGGAGCTAGTTGTTATTCGATAAGCAGTGTCTTTACGGCAAGATTTGAAACATTTGAAGCGTCTATTAATTATTTAAAAAGTGATTTCAATTTTGCTTCACGCTTTATGATCCAAAATCGATTGCAAAGAAACTACAAATATTGTTACTGATAAGCTGAATACTCGTCTTTTGTTAATCGTTATATTTATTGGATACTTATTTGTACGCAAATAATGGATAGATTCGTCCTAAAGCGAGTCTTTACAGTAAATGGTAATTAGAAACAGAAGTTGATGAAAACTTTTTTAAAAAATGAAATAGGATCCCGGAAATGACTCTCATTACCTTCGTAGTATTTATTATGTGTTGTGCTTGCCCATCTGAGTTTAGAAGTGAAGACCACTTTACAGTTAACAGTCTGCTTTACTGATCTTATCAAGCTGATGACATCCATCCATCTCGTCTTTACCCTTTGGGCAACTTATCCAGTAACTTTTTAACAATGTCATCTATATGACCGAACTGTATTACTAATATTTCCATAGCTTTATGAAAGTCTAATTCATCAAGTTAAACCACTCAATTTCTAATATCTTCTCTTGTCTTTCCTGGACAATGTGATATTAAATAAGGTGCCTGTTACAAGGAGAGCGGCGGAAACTATCATTAAGTTTCTTACAAATCACCACAAATTTGTTGATGAACTATTCAACATAATTATAAGCAAAGATAGAATAGTGGCTAGCAGTGGCAGTACGCACAGTATGCACATATGCCAATAAGAGACTGATCAATTTCAGTCCTAAACATCAATGGGAAGATTCAAGTAAAATAATACCAAGCGTATTAAACTTAATGTCTAGATCAAGTAGTTTTCTGTAAAGTTGAGTAGGTCTTTCGAATTGTTCCATCTAGGGTCGGCCCCGTATGATGTAGTAGTCTAGTGCGAAAACAAAACATCTGTCCAATGTCTCCTGGTTTTCAGTAGCTACGTAACTAAAATCACTTCCTGGTATACATTATGAAGCTTGAACATCTCCTCAGATTCTTATAAAATTAGGTGTTCTATGTATCAAAGATACAACACACTGTAACTTTCAAATAATGTATAATAGATACTTTCATCTATCGTCACTGTTCTTTTTCATTTTCTATCAAATAAACAAGAAATTCCTCACCACTCGACCATTGTTTGCACTTTTAATTCTTGGAGTACCAGCATTAATGTTCAGTGGAATTATCTACTTATGTTGTTGTTTGGACGCAAGGTATGCAACTTATGATGACGGTGAAGATGACCAACTTTCTAATTACGGCATTTACCATAAAGCATTATCAAATCAAAAGATTATTGGCATTGATAATTCCATTGGTGATAGATCAATTATCGACTCGAATTCAAGCTACTTGGATACTACTAGTAGTAGCAGCAGTGGTATTAGTGTCAACGCAACGAAGACTGTTCATTTTCGAGATATGCATAATTCTCCTCCACGTCGACGATATCGTCATGAAGTTTTGCATAACAGCAATAAAAATATTCAGAATATTGGTAAGTTATGGCCATATCATTAGTTTACTTAACGACTGACTTGTTATTCTTCTGCAGTTATGATACTGTTTTCAAATGTTTCAGTGTTTGATTATTGAATTTTATGAGTGAAAAAAAACACTGACTTGATAATTCTTGGACCGCCAACTTACGGCTACGTGGAGTAGTGGCTTGCTGATTAAGATGTTTGACTTTCACTTACTAATTCGCAGGTTTGGACCATGATTCTTTTACTCTAGCCAACCCGTCATTAACATAGAACCAGTCACAGATATGGGCTGGTCCAAATTGCCATATCGTATTAACACGACGAGATGACATGAACAAACAGATAGAGATAATGTGATAGCAATGAAAATGCGAAAGAGTGAATATTGGAAATATGGTTTGAAAAGACATAGTGGAAAGAGTATGTATGGCGGAATACTGGAAATCAAGATTGAGCGCTATTATGAATCATTCTGAGTCATGTTACTTCAGTCGGTGGGACCGAGTAGATGTGCTGTAATGTTTAGTGTACTTTGACTAAAATTATAGTTCTAATATGAATTTGTAACTTGTGGGTTTCAATAATATCGGGCATAAGACATCAATTTTACAATATCATGTGTTAATAGTAGTTAAGCATTTTAACTAAATCGCCTTTAGATAATTTTCTCAACTGCTAATAGTTCTGGTTCTAATCCTTGTTGAGATTCTTATTGTGTACTGTTTAGGAATCTGTAGCTAGGATGATTTGGCTCTCCAGTGCTTCCAAACTCTCAACATTACTTTAGTTATGGTGGCTCATTGACTAATGCATCTGATTTACAACTTCTGAGCTTCGAATCGGAACTCCGCCCCACCAACTTCAATTTGGATAACTAAGTGTGACTCGAAACAAAACACATCAATTTGTACCGGATGAGTTGAATAACTAGTTAAGTTTCAATTCGTTACGTGAAAAAATACACTGACCTATTTTAGAAAGTTCTCTGTGATTGTAATTATTGCCTTCTTCATATCTCATATTTGACATTTTCTTGTTAAACTATCAAATTACCGAATCTACTGATAATTGACAGTTGTACGGGTCCCACTAAATAAAATCACTAAAGGGAATAGCTATATATCATTCTGTTTGAAAACAATGTATATTTTTTCATTAAGGAGTTGTGGAGATCGTTGAGTTGAAATCACGAACCGATTCAAGTCAAACCACCATCGAAAGTTCGGAAGTATTAAACGGCCGTTTCATCCTAGTATAGGACTCCTCAGAAGTACGCATCCACGAGCGTGCACATGGGAACTGAACTCAGGATCTTCGATCTCCTGCGTGAACACTTAAGCTCTAAACCGCTGAGTCGGCATTCAACAGTGTTAATGCTTAGCTACAATCAATGCACGACCTTGTGCGACTATCTTCCATTGCATTCTGTGGGTAACTACCTCACATTCAACATGGTTGAACTCCACTAGTCATGGATTTTCACTATAACTCCATAAATTTTCTCTCGAATCTAGTCACTGGTGAGCATATGATATTTGTTAGTAGGGGTTGTGCAGATTGTTAAATCTTATTTAAATCATGAATCGATGTATATTTTCTCAATAAGGTAATATTTGTTTATGAACTATACTCTCTATATAATACAGGTCCTGTTTATTCAGAGGATGAATTAAAGAAAAGAATTGAAGATTCACGTGCGAAATTAAAGAAACAAGCATAAATGTATTTCTTATTTCCATTCATTCATCAGCACAGAATTATCACAATAACCTACGTGCATAATAGTTTGTTTTCTCCAATCATGTATGTATCACACATATCAGATTGTGTAGCACTGATAAGCATGTGTTTGATGTGCACTAACTGGTTTTGTTTTTTAAAATATCTTGATATTACATAAACTCATTATCATTCATCTGGATGTTTTATTCCAGTGAAAAAAACGACAACTCATATTTATTTCTTGTATCTTTGAACTTTATTACTTAATGTATGCATTTATTCATCATATATATTCTTAATATTGCGTTATCTAATTGAATATATTGTTAGTTTACTCAAGCATAATCTTGACTTCATAACTGTTATTTCATGCATATTCAATACACACAGGATAATTAATTTGTCATTTCATTTGAGCAGTAGTGATGTAAACTTTAATAACAGGTTGTAAACGATAAAACTTTATCATGAGAATAATTCACTGTAAGATTGAAAAAAAATTTACCAAATTACGTTTACTAAATCATACACAAAAAACTACAATAGGAAATCAGTTTCTATTAAAAAGTTCGAATAATAAATGACAAAAACATATAATTTATAGACCAAAAAGTGCGCGTGATACGTCGTTTCCGTAGTTTAGTGGTCATCACGACTGTCTAACACACAGAAGGTCCCCAGTTCGAGCCTGGGCGGAAACATGCTTTTCAAACTACAAACAACTCTCAGAAAAATACCGACATTGTGACAACATCCATCAACCACACCATACGTACTCTCGATTTGTCAATATTGTACATCGACACAGCTACTCCGTGACCAACGCATGACAATCAGAAAACCCACCGTCGTCATCCAACAATCCATCTTCAGAGTTCACACTAACGCATTGTCACACACACACACACACACACACACGAGAACGTGCAGGTTCGCCTGTGCGAAAACGCACCCACACCTGGGTATATTTATTGAGTGAGAACCGGACAGTCACACATACACACCCACGCATACGCCCAGTATAAACACACGCATTTACGCAAATACACATGCATTCGTTGAACACTCGACATTATCTCATGTCGGATGTCTGTCAATATCTGCAGCTTGTCAACAATTCTCACGATGATTTTGTGACTGAGACGTGAATCATTGTTTGTTGATCGGTTCCAGTGTTCATTCGTATTGCGAGTGTCGACCATCCAGATATGGTGACGTGTACATGAGGATGCTTCTCGAGATCCCGACTGATCGATACCAACACCAATTCACAACGGATCAAGTGACACTGTCTACACTTCAATAATTTTCAGGACAGTGCTGTCTCAATGCGAGTACTCAGTGACCATCATGTTGTTCAGTCGACTAGGATTCGAAGAGGACGTTGACGAGCGTGGTGTGACTACAACTCGTCGTCCATTGTCACCAACAAATGCATTGTTTCTACTAGGATTTATCCTACGAGCGATGTAGTCGAAAGTGCCTCACTGGCAGATATCATTTCAGACTGGATAGTATTGAGCACATGGTATGTGGTAGAGAATCGCAACAACAATGTGCTGGACATAGATTGCGCTGAGACACTGGTCTCTGTGTATTGTTCTCTCAGGATGGTGTGCAGTATGGTCGATACACTTGGTGATATCACGGTCGATTTCAGGTGATGCCGTATGTCAATGTGTTGAATGTTCTGAGTGGAGTGTTTGAGGTGTGCTCATGGTCGAGTCGGTTGTGCGTAAGCGGCACAATGGGGCTTGTGGTGGAGTGGACCATCGTTGCTCATTACAATTGTCTGAGAGTATGACGAGCGTGACTGCAAGAAGCCGGTGTTGTGTGAAGCGAACCTGTGTTGGTGCACTTTGTGTTGAGTGCTCGTGACTGGTCGGTGACTCTACTGGATTGTGGTGACAGATGCTGTGTGTCTTGACCTGGTGTTGGTGAACATGTCGGTTGACAGGTTGATTGGCGAATGCGTGTTTGTGTGACTTGTAGTCTTGCAGTGGGAGTGAACAGCCAAATGATTGTTTAGTTGTCTTGCTGGCAGCTGTGTTTGTTGATGGATTGTGTTTGTGTGTGAGTGTACGCGAGCGTGTAGACTTTGTGGATATGCATGTGAGTATGTGTTCGACTAGTCGAGGAGACGTAGTTGTAGTTGTTGTGTGGAGTTGTGCGAGTTGATGCGAGAGGGCGTTCGAATCGTCGTTTCCGTGGTGTAGTGGTTATCACGTCTGTCTAACACACAGAAGGTCCCCAGTTCGAGCCTGGGCGGAAACATGCTTTTCAAACTACAAACAACTCTCAGAAAAATACCGACATTGTGACAACATCCATCAACCACACCATACGTACTCTCGATTTGTCAATATTGTACATAGACACAGCTACTCCGTGACCAACGCATGACAATCAGAAAACCCACCGTCGTCATCCAACAATCCATCTTCAGAGTTCACACTAACGCATTGTCACACACACACGAGAACGTGCAGGTTCGCCTGTGCGAAAACGCACCCACACCTGGGTATATTTATTGAGTGAGAACCGGACAGTCACACATACACACCCACGCATACGCCCAGTATAAACACACGCATTTACGCAAATACACATGCATTCGTTGAACACTCGACATTATCTCATGTCGGATGTCTGTCAATATCTGCAGCTTGTCAACAATTCTCACGATGATTTTGTGACTGAGACGTGAATCATTGTTTGTTGATCGGTTCCAGTGTTCATTCGTATTGCGAGTGTCGACCATCCAGATATGGTGACGTGTACATGAGGATGCTTCTCGAGATCCCGACTGATCGATACCAACACCAATTCACAACGGATCAAGTGACACTGTCTACACTTCAATAATTTTCAGGACAGTGCTGTCTCAATGCGAGTACTCAGTGACCATCATGTTGTTCAGTCGACTAGGATTCGAAGAGGACGTTGACGAGCGTGGTGTGACTACAACTCGTCGTCCATTGTCACCAACAAATGCATTGTTTCTACTAGGATTTATCCTACGAGCGATGTAGTCGAAAGTGCCTCACTGGCAGATATCATTTCAGACTGGATAGTATTGAGCACATGGTATGTGGTAGAGAATCGCAACAACAATGTGCTGGACATAGATTGCGCTGAGACACTGGTCTCTGTGTATTGTTCTCTCAGGATGGTGTGCAGTATGGTCGATACACTTGGTGATATCACGGTCGATTTCAGGTGATGCCGTATGTCAATGTGTTGAATGTTCTGAGTGGAGTGTTTGAGGTGTGCTCATGGTCGAGTCGGTTGTGCGTAAGCGGCACAATGGGGCTTGTGGTGGAGTGGACCATCGTTGCTCATTACAATTGTCTGAGAGTATGACGAGCGTGACTGCAAGAAGCCGGTGTTGTGTGAAGCGAACCTGTGTTGGTGCACTTTGTGTTGAGTGCTCGTGACTGGTCGGTGACTCTACTGGATTGTGGTGACAGATGCTGTGTGTCTTGACCTGGTGTTGGTGAACATGTCGGTTGACAGGTTGATTGGCGAATGCGTGTTTGTGTGACTTGTAGTCTTGCAGTGGGAGTGAACAGCCAAATGATTGTTTAGTTGTCTTGCTGGCAGCTGTGTTTGTTGATGGATTGTGTTTGTGTGTGAGTGTACGCGAGCGTGTAGACTTTGTGGATATGCATGTGAGTATGTGTTCGACTAGTCGAGGAGACGTAGTTGTAGTTGTTGTGTGGAGTTGTGCGAGTTGATGCGAGAGGGCGTTCGAATCGTCGTTTCCGTGGTGTAGTGGTTATCACGTCTGTCTAACACACAGAAGGTCCGCAGTTCGAGCCTGGGCGGAAACATGCTTTTCAAACTACAAACAACTCTCAGAAAAATACCGACATTGTGACAACATCCATCAACCACACCATACGTACTCTCGATTTGTCAATATTGTACATAGACACAGCTACTCCGTGACCAACGCATGACAATCAGAAAACCCACCGTCGTCATCCAACAATCCATCTTCAGAGTTCACACTAACGCATTGTCACACACACACACACACACACACACACACACGAGAACGTGCAGGTTCGCCTGTGCGAAAACGCACCCACACCTGGGTATATTTATTGAGTGAGAACCGGACAGTCACACATACACACCCACGCATACGCCCAGTATAAACACACGCATTTACGCAAATACACATGCATTCGTTGAACACTCGACATTATCTCATGTCGGATGTCTGTCAATATCTGCAGCTTGTCAACAATTCTCACGATGATTTTGTGACTGAGACGTGAATCATTGTTTGTTGATCGGTTCCAGTGTTCATTCGTATTGCGAGTGTCGACCATCCAGATATGGTGACGTGTACATGAGGATGCTTCTCGAGATCCCGACTGATCGATACCAACACCAATTCACAACGGATCAAGTGACACTGTCTACACTTCAATAATTTTCAGGACAGTGCTGTCTCAATGCGAGTACTCAGTGACCATCATGTTGTTCAGTCGACTAGGATTCGAAGAGGACGTTGACGAGCGTGGTGTGACTACAACTCGTCGTCCATTGTCACCAACAAATGCATTGTTTCTACTAGGATTTATCCTACGAGCGATGTAGTCGAAAGTGCCTCACTGGCAGATATCATTTCAGACTGGATAGTATTGAGCACATGGTATGTGGTAGAGAATCGCAACAACAATGTGCTGGACATAGATTGCGCTGAGACACTGGTCTCTGTGTATTGTTCTCTCAGGATGGTGTGCAGTATGGTCGATACACTTGGTGATATCACGGTCGATTTCAGGTGATGCCGTATGTCAATGTGTTGAATGTTCTGAGTGGAGTGTTTGAGGTGTGCTCATGGTCGAGTCGGTTGTGTGTAAGCGGCACAATGGGGCTTGTGGTGGAGTGGACCATCGTTGCTCATTACAATTGTCTGAGAGTATGACGAGCGTGACTGCAAGAAGCCGGTGTTGTGTGAAGCGAACCTGTGTTGGTGCACTT